TAAAGAAATGGTGTTTAATACTGAACTTTTTATTTAGTTATTTATTTTTTTACCTACATTTGTTATAAAAAACTTTAGTACCCCCGTCATTAAAATAATTTGTTTTAAATATATTTTGACGTGATTATTCAAACTAATTTTTTTCGTTTGGCTTTCCGAACTTCATGCAAAGCAAATTGAAACGAAATATCGTCTAATCAAATAATAAAGCTGTTACTAATTTTATACGGGTAATTAATGTAAAACAATTTTTAAGATAATAAATATTCATAATTTATAAACATTAAATATATGGCGCAATAACAATTTATAGCAACGAACCAGCATAAAATATTTAAGGTTTTTAATATCTTTTTAAATATTAATAGTAGAAAAAAAAAAAAAACTAAACAAATAATCAAAAAAACTTTGACTAAAAGTAAATAAAAATATTTCCAGAGTTTCTTTTGTTAAAAGTCTACCGTGACGTCAAATACTAAAACTTTTATGAATTAAACGCGCTTCAAAGGAATTGCCAAAGTCTGTAGATTGCGACGCATAATTTGAAGACTCCGATTAGTTGAAAAAAATGGAGGACGAGCTTCGGCAAAAACAACAACATTTGTTTTTCTCGGTATGCATTCATTATTTATTTTTAATCAAAAAAAAATTGGTTCAAACCTTTTTTTTTAACATTATCTTTAATATGAAGACAACATGTGTTGGGAGTTTGGGATCCCTTTAAATCAAGCCTAAAATGCATTCACAATTATCTACTTCACATATTTTTATAACCCTGAATCTTGTTTGGAGGGCGTGAAAAAATAGCTGACTTTTTAGAATTATGACGAAGTAGTGATCTTTTGTAGGCAATGTCTTAAAGAATATCTAGTAGAGTTGGAGTTTAAGGAAAAAAAGAAGTCAATATTATTGTTAAGAAAAAAAAATTTAATTTAAAGCAATTTATATATTTAAATAAGAATATCAAATGTGTATATAATGGTTTAGCTATATATATAAAATATTTTTTTCTTTTTTTTCTTTTTTTTTTTTTCGATAAAATACATTTTTTTTTTTCATTTTTATATTTAATTCAATTAGATTTAATGGTCTGTAATTAGTTAGACATGTCAATACAATTTTACTTTATATTGTAATTCTATTAATAACAATCAAGTATGATTTACTTTATTGTTATTAATAGATTGTTATATATACATATATATATATATATATATATATATATATATATATATATATATATATATATATATATATATATATAATCTTTAAAAGTCATTTTCTTGTTATATGATAATAATAAAATATTAATAAAATTACACCTGATGACGCTGATCACAATAGATCAGCGAAATATCGAAAAAAAAAAAATTAAAATAAAAACAAATATATATTTTTAAAAAGTTTATACGCAGCCGTTTTTATTGAATTTTACATATTTTATATATATATATATACATATATATATATATATATATATATATATATATATATATATATATATATATATATATATATATATATATATACAACCCTCGGAATTAGGAAAAATTAGGTCGGCAAAAAAAATTTGATTCAAAGTATAATATAATATGTATATATATATATATATATATACATATTTATATTCTTGTTTTTTTATTTTATCATTATTATTTTTTCTCATAAAGTGTAAAGTTTATGGTTTTTTTAAAAAAAAATTGTTTTAAAGACCTGAAAAAGTTTGAAAACATTTTTTTTTTTAATTTTTTTTAATTGTTATTATTTGATAGACTGTCTGCCCCAAACAAACCCTCAGTTGATGTAATGGCACTTCCTTGTAGGAGCAGGCTATAAGATAGTGGATGTAACAACACACTGTGCAAGTTTTACAGTAAAAAAATAAAAATAAAAACATTCAGTATGTTTTTATTTAAAAAAAAACATTCAGTATGTTTTTAAAAACATTCTAGTCTTTTAAATTGCGTTTTTGTGGTTTTTTAAAAATCAATAAATTTAATTAGTTTCCTCAATTTAATTAACGAGTCTTAACATAATCTGTATTATATTTTTGCTGATGTCATAGAGTAGTTAAATGCTATTTTTCACAACAAACAGTATGTTTAAGATCTTCATTATAGGAAAATAAAATGTCTGTTTTAGGTTTTTCTTAATTTTAAAGACTAGAAAAACATTTTTCTTAATTATTTGAAAAACTGCCTGCCCTAACCAAACCCTCAGTCGATGTAGCAGCACTCTGTTGCGAGTCAGGCTATAAGATATTCTATGTAGCAACACTCTGCGCATGTTTTACAGTTAAAAATAAAATTAAAAACATTCTGAATGTTTTTATTTTATTTTTTAAAAATAAAAACATTCAGAATGTTTTTTAAAACATTCTAGTTTTTTAATTTGCGTTTTTGTGGTTTAATTGCTTCCCCCAACTAAATTAATGCGTTTTGACATAATCTAACCCTAATTTTAATTACTTTAACTTTTAGTTGACATTAAAATGTTACTGAAATATACTTTTTTTTACCATAAAAGTCTTTTTCGATTACGATAATAGGATATATGTGTGTGTATATTTATATATAAATAATATTTTTTTTTGAGTTTAAGTTTGATCAATAAAAACCAATAAAAACTAATAATGATAAAAGATAAATAAATAATGGAAAATATTAATCATAATATTATTTTTATTATTTATCATAATTATCATAATTATATTGTTATTTGTTTTTTCTTTATTCAACTTTACTAGTTTATAATTTTGACTTTTCTAAATTAAGTTACTAAACTTAAACAGTTTTTTGTATTTGCATTAAAAGTACTTTTTATAAAGTTCTCTTAATTTTTTATTTTCTATAATTTCTAAAATGTTCATCAAAAACAGGTTTATGAAAGAAAAGAATTTTTTTTTTTTTTTAATACCAATTAATGCTAATATCAGTTTTAAAATTACTAGTCTAAAGCTTCTATGTAAATTATAAATAAAAATGTTATCAATTGCAGTTGTTATACTTTTTTTATGTTCATTTATTTATAACTGGTAAGATGTTATATTTAAATATGTCATAATTGTTACCCCTCCCTCATTCCTATAAATACAAAACATCAATCTTGATCGCTACACTAACAAACAAGTTGCAAGAACATGGTACTTTAATGATGGAATGGTACTTTCTTGGGGCATGGTGTATTTTAAACTCCATGTCTCTTGTTTAACTGCTTCACTATGATTGATTCCATTATATGATGATTCCAGTCATTTAATATTCAATTTGTAAAATAGACCAGTATATATCCATTCTTTAGAAGTTCTCTATGAGATGGTTATCTTTTGTTTTAGTGGATTGCCATTGGTATTATCAAGTTTATTTTATTCATACTTTTTTTCTAAACATTTGTATCCTCAACCCTTTTTTTTTTTCTGTTTGTACTCTTAGAACTCGGTTTGGTTTTAAAACTTGGAATTTCTGCATATAGTACAGGGTTTTTTTTGTTTATTTTTTTTTTTTGACTCGATTTTAAAATTTTTATTTATTCATAATGGACCTTTAACTCTTATTTTTATTGGCATTCATCTGTGAATGAATTTTAAAGTTGGATTTTAATTTTTTTTCAAATTCAATCACTTTTTTTGCATTTAGATTAAGTAATTTGTTGTACCAATCTAAGGATAAAAAAAAAAAATTTTAAAGATTTTAGTGATTTTTACCCAAATAAAATCTCTTTTTAACTCTTTTTTTTATTATTTATGCTGTCATTAAACCAATATTAAAAGATTATTACTTGATGGACATAATTGACTTTAAATTCTTTACTAACTAATCATGTTGTTTTTTTAAACCAGATTTTTTTAGTCAATAATTTTTTTTTTTTTTTTTTTTTTTTTTTTTTTTAGTTTTTAAAAACAGTTTTTCCAACTTGATTTTAATACAGGAGATTTATGTTTTTCAAGAACTTTTCCATGTTCAAATTAAAATGTTTTTTTTAACATTATTGCAGAACATTATTATATTATATTATTTTATATATATGTGTATGTATATATAAGTATATACATGCATACATAAATACATACATACATACATACATACATACATACATACATACATACATACATACATACATACATACATACATATGTACGTACATACATACATACATACAAACATATATATATATATATATATATATATATATATATATATATATATATATATATATATATATATATATATATATATATATTTATATATATATATATATATATATATATATATATATATTTATATATAAGTATACATACATATATATATACATATATATATATACATATATATGTATGTGTATATATATATATATATATATATATATTATATATATATATATATATATATATATATATATATATATATATATATATATATATATATATATATATATATATATATATATATATATATATATATATATATATATATATAACATTCCAAGTCTCAGTAAATGGATTTTGAAAAAATGATGAAAAACTGAACTACCCTTAGTTGCGCACCAACAAAAATTAATTTTTTCTTTTTCTATTTTAGAACAAAAAATATTTCAATTGGTTTAATATCTAATATATATATATATATATATATATATATATATATATATATATATATATATATATATATATTATATATATATATATATATATATATATATATATATATATATATATGTATATATATATATATAATATATATATATATATATATATATATATATATATATATATATATATATATATATATATATATATATGTATGTATATATATATATATAATATATATATATATATATATATATATATATATATATATATATATATATAATATATATATATATATATATATATATATATATATATATATATATATATATATATATATATATATATATATATATATATATATATATATATATATATATATATATATATAAATGATTATATTTTGAATTCATAGAATAAAAAAGATGCCTTTCCTGACAGTTTGTTATCTCCTGCATATATGTCACCTGTTCAGATGTTAAAATTAAAGATTAAAAAGTCAGTTAATGAAACCACAAAATCTTCATCTGATGATGACTCAGACACTGAAAAGTCTTTGAATGATGACTCAGACACTGAAAAATCTATGACAAAGAGGAGAAAGAAAAGAAGAATGTGTGGTAAAAATAATACCCCTTCAAAATCCAAAAGTTTTAACAATGATTCCATTGATCATTCAGAAAGAAGCTACAGTGATTTAAAAGTGAATTTTTCCAACAAAACTTTGTCGTAAGTTGTTTTTTTGATATTAACTTTTTTTTTTAATTTTTAAATTTGTTTTAAAACAGTATATTTATGGTATAATTTAAACATGTGTTTGTATTTGTATATTTAAACATGTGTTTGTATTATAAATGTAATATATTATTATTTAAACAACTAGCTGTCATGAACCATAAAATATGGGTCTAGAAGAGTTTATTTACGCTTCTATTTTTATACTTATTCAGCAATTTATCTATATACCCCCAGCTATTTATCTGTATGTTTTTATCATCATGCTTAGATCTCATTAGAAGTATTACCCGGTTTATTTATTTCAAAGGAAAATCTCAATTGAATGAAAGCATCTTCCTAAAAAATAATTATTTTTTTAATGTCCTAGATGCACAGATTAACTTTATTGATTGCGACAACACTAAACATTGGCTCTAAACACTTAAACATAACTTAAAACTTAACATAAATGGCAATTGCGTGAAATTTCTTACAACGTTTTTGAAAATTTAATGCTTACTCTCGAATGTTTTTTAAAGTGGGAGGGGGGGGGACATTTGTTAATTTTTGGAAAATTTTTCCACCCACCTCAAGCTTATTAAGCTTAATAAGCCCTCCCCCCCCCTCCTTTTTTATTAATTTTTACTTGTTATTAACAAAAACTTTGTCTCAAAACTAAAAAAAAAATAGTGAAAATCAGCCTTTCCTTTAAAAAATTAGAAAATAATTATTTCAGTCACTGATAAAAACAAAAACTTTCAGTATAAAATAAGCTTTAAATATCGTTGTGAATCTCAATATGTCGAAAATGGGCCATTTGTCGAAAATGAGCCATGAGCCAGCTTTTGGTTTATTTCTCACTAAAGTTTAAAGCTTATATCAGCATATTAAATCTTATTGAAATTATGATAAAACAGCTGTTAAAAAATGTGCATTTGACTGCAAGCCATGTTATAATTAAATTGTTATTAGAACTAAGTTGTGCATTTGACTGCAAGCCATGTATGTTTTGTAAAAAGTATTAGTTTGGATTTACAAACTGAATTTTTTTATAAAAAATATTTATAATGTAACATAAAAAAATTTCCACCCCTCTTTTTATTAGATCTGGACTAAAATTCCTACAACCCATCATTTATTCCCACTCTCTTTGTGTAAAGAACTTGAAAGTAGAAAATAAAACTTTAAACATTCATTAAAATTATATCAAATTTGCAAAGCAAAAGAAAAAACTTTAAAAAAAAAAAGTTTTTAATATGGATCAATAAAAGTGACAAATTTTCATAAATAATAAAACTTACTTTATTGAGATTAAAATATATTATATATAATCAAAATGCATTTATAAAAAAATATTTTCTTAGCTCTTAATGAATGGTTTAAAGTAATTAGCCTCAGTAATGAAACTATCTATTATCATTTTTAACAACAGACATCAACATGAAGGTGAGCTAAGGAGTCTGTCAAAAAAATATTTGTGCTTTTCTATTAACACATGAAGCACATTTTAATACTGTCATGCCTTGTCAATGTTATGAAACATTTGTTTTTATCCCAGTATCAAAGATTGGTTTTTTTCCCCAGTATCAAAGATTGGTTTTTATCCCAGTATCAAAGACTGGTTTTTATTCCAGTAATAAAAACTGGTTTGTTTCCCAGTATCAAAGACTGGTTTCTACAAAAGCTGGCATTAAAAGCAACAAAAACAGTAAGTCAAAAGCAAAAATGGCTTTGTTATTATTTGTTAAGAAATAGTAGTAAAACAAAAGCAATTGTTTATAAATTTGTAAATACAATATTTTGTGTGTAAGATTTATTATGACATACCTTGTAAAGCATGTTTATCAACTTTAAAAAACAAACTATTAAATGATCTTGTTCTTGAACATGCTACATATAATTGGCCGTGTGAAAAGCAAGGCTTTTTGAGATAAACACCAACTTTTTCAAATGTTTGACCTTGACTTTTATTTATGGTCATTGAGTATGCTAACCTAACTGGAAACTGACGACGTTTAAGGTAAATTTGAATCTGGTGGAGCTACTCAAGGAACAAATAATCTGTTACCAGCTGATACACCTGTTAGAAGCTCACTATCATTGTAACTGTTGTCTAGTGCAGGCACCATCAAACAGATTCTATTTCAAAGTCCGCCTTTAAGATCTAAAGGTAAGAACAGGCATACCTGGTGGAGTCAAACTATTCAAAAACTCAACTGGAAAATTATAAATTTCATTATGATCATCAATTTCAATGGCATCTGAACTAAATTTTAGCATCACTAAGTAAATGATCATGGACTTCTTCATTTATTGCCAATCAATCAACATTTGTTGGTGTTAAAATAGCACGTTTAGCATTATCAGCTTCCTCTGCGTCATCAAAAAATTTTTCCACAATAGATTCATTATCAATGAGAAAGCACCGCTCAGGTATTTCAATACACCCTTGCAAAGGATCTTCAGTCTTGACAAGTAATGTTCCACTTCCAAGCTTTAGAAGCCATTGAGAAAATTCCTCTTTTCCTATCTGAACCCTCATATTTTCAGTTAATGAAAAGCTTTGCACATATTGCCACTGTTCGAACATTTTATACAAGGTTCTACAACTTCTACTAGTCGACCTTTTTTCACAACTGGAAGTATTTGTCTAAAGTCTCCACCCATAAGAATAACTTTACCCCACTTAAAGTAATCTTATTATTACAAATATCTTGTAATAACTTATTAATGGCACTCAAAGCATGTTTAGAGATCAAGTAAATAATTTAATCAAGGAAACCATGCAATGTGTATCCATTTTTATGAAAAGTTGCAGCTATTCCTGTTCATGCAATTGTTGCAGTTTTAATGTCTGCTGCATGTTTCATTAATTCAGTAATTTTAAGTAAATGTTTTATCATAACCAGCAGGTCTATCCATAAAAAACAATCTTGAAGTAGGCAAATTATAATAAGCTAAGGTTTTATCTGTCTGATTAATTATAAATTCAATTTAACGAAGAGCTACCTGTTCAGCAAGTAGGACTGGCATAGAACGGTGTATGTAATCCTCCACCATATAATCTTTAAAGGTATTTCAAAGGTGTAAAAAATCATCATTTTGACATGAAGTTAATATGATGGAGAACAGTTGCCTAATTTTACCTATTTTGGCACTCCAGTTGCAACAGCTTTTGTTAATGTATTTCTCCAATCAATATCATTTTGCAACAGACTTAACTTATAAAATGTTTCATGAAATGTATTAAAAACAGTACCATGTACAGTACACAAATCTTCAAAAGATATTGCACCTTTTACATGCAAAAGCAACAATCTTAGAAAAAATGCTTTGCTGGTTAGATTGACTTTATACATTTGCACAATCACCTTTTCGCTACCTCTTTGCCTTACTTTCCACTTGCAATTTTTACCATCAAAAGTGATACGGAACTTTAACATAAGAATAGCGACATGGTTTATTATATTCACCATTTAATTTAAACCAAGCGGTAAGGTGTTACGCTGTGCTGCACAATCTATAGCTACTTGTTCTTCTCCTCCATTAAAATATACTATCTGATTATCAGGAAGGTGGACTTGAAGGTGAATAATGGTATGTGACACACCATCTTCAAAAAAGATTTTTAAAGCTCTTGGACTTCCAACATATGAAGATGGCAGTATAACAACATGATCTTGTCTTGCATTAAGATTATTTGCAAAGTTATTTACATGTTCATGTTATGTATCATATTGTTCCTTTCTAAGTTTGGTTTGATTATTTCTGATAAAAGCAAGGCGCTGTCCATCAATCTTGACATATGCATCAACAGCATATTGTTAAAAAAGCTTTTTACCATAAAGTATAGGACTGAACGTTTTTCTAACAGAAAGCCTATAATTGTAGTACTGAGACAAAGTAACACGATTTCTAACAGGTGTTGCTCGGTCAGGATTGTGCTCTAGTTGATCATGCCATCCTGCATCACCTTTTGGAAAAAATATTGGATATATTGTTTGATCTAGATTGGCAGACATACTTGAAATGGTTTTTAAAGTCTGACCTCGAGGGTATATAACAACTTTCCTAGATAGAGGTAGAGCACCATCATCTCCTACAAACACAATGGCAACTTCCTTATGTGAAGGTAGATTGTATCGACTTCTATTTTGACCTTCAAGCAATGACATTTTGACAACTGAAGTTGGTCAACCTTCTAAAACTGCTTGATGTATTTCTTCAACTACAACTTCTGCCATGTTTTTAAATGCAAGATAACCCATATCTTCTCTTGAATAATTATAGTCTGTAAAAGTTTCATCAACTCACGTATGCAACAATCATTTTGCTCCATTTGAAAATTTAAATAAAAGATATAATTGACAATATGCAGGTAAAATATTTTGATCAAGTCTCAGATTATCAACATGGTGCACAAGGGTGGGCCATGATTTGAGGGAGGAGCTATTCTGGCTGCGAATGAAGCAAAAGATAGACAGGCATTATAATTTCGAGTATGATTGAAGAAATTTTGATTTAAAGCACAATCAACATGGTTGCCTGTCATTAAATCAATCATTAGCGATAGATGATAAGCGGAGTTAACACAACTTTGGCTGAATGGCAGCACAAAAAATGTGTGCCCCACAAAAATGTGAGGCACCACAATATTGAAAAATATGGTTCATTTTTTGCTATGCAATGTATTTTATGTTTAAGTAATATTAGCCTTATTTCTTTGATTTTGGTGACAATTTATTTCTTCTCGCCTAACCTTATTTCTTTGATTTTGGTGACAATTAATTTCTTCTTGCCTGCCTTATTTCTTTGATTTTGGTGACAATTAATTTCTTCTCTCCTAGCCTTATTTCTTTGATTTTGGTGACAATTAATTTCTTCTCGCCTAGCCTTATTTCTTTGATTTTAGCAACAATTAATTTCTTCTCACCTAGCTTTATTTCTTTGATTTTGGTAACAATTAATTTCTTCTCGCCTAACCTTATTTCTTTGATTTTAGCAACAATTAATTTATTCTTGCCTAGCCTCATTTCTTTGATTTAGGGAACAATTAATTTCTTCTTGCCTAACCTTATTTCTTTGATTTTGGCAACAATTAATTTCTTCTTGCATAGCTGTTAAGCTGTTTTTCAGCTGTTAAGTTATTTGACAAGCAACTATGTTAAGTTTTATAAAACTTAATTTGTTTAATTTTTCGCTATACTAATCTGAAATATAAAAACATAAAGCACACATATACTAATCTATCTAAGCTATCTATCTAAACATATCTATATATCTATGTACACTTAACTAATGTAGAAAAGAAATAAACCTAGAAGTTTCGGTTTAAATACAAAGTATTGTATTGTAAGTAGTAAAACAAATGAAATATTAAAAAAAATTAAATAAGAAAAAGATAATAATTTAAAAAATCAATAATTAAATATTAAAGAGTAGCAAGTTAACGTTGTAAAATTTATTTTGAGATAAATTTTTATTTTCTGTCATTGTTTCAAAATGTAATCTTTTATATTGTTAATAGTTAGTGATTCTGAAAATAACATTTAATTACAAACATTTTGGTACATAAAAATGTGTAATTTTTACAGTTCTATCCATTTAGCAAACAAATTTTCATAATAGATTTTAAAACATTGTTTAAAAAAAGCACTCATTTCGCAAACCACATCCGAACGTGCTAATTTTGTATGTAGCAAAAGCTTTATTATGAAATTCAACTTGCAAAATGCAAGTTGAATTTCATAATAATAAATGCAATTTCGGAATGAGTAGCAATTTAAAATGTTTTGTTTGACTTTGTTGGCACCCACACACCCACACTGAAACTAAAATAAAATTTACTAAAATTTGGTTTCAATTTTTTTTTTTTTACTTCAGAATAAGATAATTTTTTGTTACTACATGTTTGTTCTCTATAGTGTGTTAAACGATGAAGATACAAAAGTTGGAGCTATTAAGTTGAGGTTATCTTGTAAGGAATTTAAAATAACTTAATTTTCAAATAGACATCAAACATTTTTTAACTAATGACAACTTTTTTAATGTAGTGCCTTCAATAAAAACTGGAAATGATTTATATTCAACAGTTGAAAATGCATCTTCAAGGACTGATCGCTCTAAAACAGATATAAAGTTAGTTAAGTAAAAATCAAGAGGCAATTTTTTTATATTCTCATTTGTATTTTTTTTTTATTTCAATGTATCTTTATTTCAATGACTTTATTTTCTTTACAGGGAAGAAATTGAAGCTGCTAAAAGAGATACTTTTATGGAATTAGATCCAGCAAAAAACAAAGTTATTTTTTTCTACAAAGCCAAATGTTGATGATCCTACTGTTAAACCTGTCACATTTGCTCTTTCTAAACCATCACAGAAAAAAAGCTCATCAACAAATATACACTGTGAAAATAATGTCAAAAACACTGTACAAAAAAAAGAAATAAAAAAAACTAAAAAACGATCTAATTCAGAATCAGGTTCCGATTATGATCCAAGTGTTGATAATTATTACCAGGATGAAGATTACGGTAAGTTTTGATGATAATTATTATCAGGATGAAGATTACGGTAAGTTTTGATGATAATTATTATCAGGATGAAGATTACGGTAAGTTTTGATGATAATAATAATAATCATGATTATGCAGATGATGATGGCAATGGTGATGATGATGTATTTTCTTTTATTTTGTCCAGTATACCCACGCATTGATGTAACGAGTGAGTTAAATAGTGATGATTTTTCATGGAGGCCTGGGCAGAGAAAACCATCAAAAGTAGTTCACAAAAAAAAAAGTATTGTTTTACTTTTTTCTTTTATGTTTCTTTATATTATTTTAAATTCTTATATACTTTCGATGTAAACATTTTTTTTTTCACTTCACCAAGAGAACAATATTCCAGCTGATCATTCAAAACCTTGTTCTGAAAACTTTTTTCCATCGGATGAAGATTTGTCTGTAAGCTTTTAATTTCTATATTTATTTGTCTGTAAGCTTATAATTTCTATATTTATTAGTCTGTAAGCTTATAATTTCTATATTGATTTGTCTGTAAGCTTATAATTTCTATATTGATTTGTCTGTAAGCTTATAATTTCTATATTTATTTGTTATGTTTGAATTACAAAGTAACTCTGATTAGATTCACTCAAATTTTTAACATTAAATAATTTTTCTACTACTGTACCATAAATTTTTTTGATTTCTTTTTTAATATTATATATACCTTTATTATTTAATATTTTATCTAATATAACTTTTTTTACTTGGTATATAGTAATCAGTAACAATTGAAAAAAGAGATAAATATATTTGTGGTAATTAAATTAACTTGAGTATTAAAATAGTATCTTAAAGTTAATTTAAATAATTGTGTGTGTTATGTTCTGTATATAATTATACATGTATATTTATTGTATTTGTATTGTATACAATATATCAGAGTTGCCGTTTACCCTGGAAAACCTGGAAAGAATATGAATCCCCGTAGAAAACGTGGAATGGATTTTTTTTTTTTTTTTTTGACTATTCAGGGAATACATAGAGGCGATTTTACGGGGAGGTGTTACACCCCCCAAAAAAGGTTGTTTTCAAGTTATAGTTGGTTTTTTTACTAATTTACTCGGCTAGTCGGGTATTTGACACAATTCAGTCGGCAAAAATTAATTTTTGAGGTTTTTTTTTTTACTAAGCCAGACGGCACTTTTTAAGGATTCACCCCCTCCCCCCCCCCCCCCCTCCTTATTTTATTTGCAGAATCGCCTCTGGGAATACATGTGGAAATTTTTTTTTCAATTTTTTTTTTTTTTATATTTTTTTTTTTTATCCAATTTTTAACTATAATTTAAATTAGTTGTATAATTGCAACTAATTTAAGTATTAAAATGTTTGTTTCCAAATGTTCATGGTAGTCACTGTTAGTTTGTTTTTTTTTTTTTGTTTTTTTTTTAATATAGCTTTTAGTTGTTATGGCTCAATTGTTGTTTTGCTATTTTTAATACTGATCGTCTATCACACTTTAAAGATGAAATTTTTTTGTTTTAGTTTCTTAGGTAATTACTCAATGTGTCTAACGAAAAATGTTGGAAGCCACAGTCGCCGGCCTATAAAAATATTTTTATAATTTTTTTGAAATTTTTTCCTATTAATAAAAGAAAGAAAAAATAAAAAGAATAAAAAATTACTTTTTTTATTAATAAAAGAAAGAAAAAAAATTTATTTGGAAACCATAATAAAAGAAGATTTGTAAAGTTGTATCTAAAGATCACCTTTTATATATTTTTGCTACATATATATCAAAGTATATTTAAAAAACCTTTTGTTTATTTTTAGAATCACGTTGATGACTTGAAGAAATCAAAACAGGGTAATATTTTATTTTTCATTGCCTAATTATATTTATGTGTGTGTAGTTTTTTTACATGACCTTCATTTTCTACTCAAATCGGCTTGTAAATTATATTTGCTAGTTGGCGCTCAGATATCTGAAGCCTTTTTTAACTAATTGTTATTATCTATTTTGACGGTGACTGTTGATGATCGGCCAATGGTATTTGCGGTTCAAAGAATTTTTTACATTTTTAAAATTTAGAATGTTCTATTATTATACCAATAGTAAAAGCATAAATAAAACACTTTTTTTTCGTATCTTTGGTTTAACAATCGTGATGCGTCATCCTTTTAAAATATACGTCTGCGTAAACAAAGGCTTTGTCATATTTTGAGGTTTTTATGAAACAATTGTTCTTAATCTAGGTAATAATTTCTTTTTTTCTTTTTTTCCTTAGTTGTAGTTCATTAAACTAATTAAATTAATGATCAAAAGGTAGACAAAAAGTCTGCTGGCTTAAAAATAGTTTACCTTTATATTAAATAACTGTTTTATTATATAATTAATAATTATTGATAATTTAGGCAAATTATCAATATAAAAATATATTTTTTTCATAAGGTGAAAGAAGTTAAAACATGGAACAGTTTCTACACCTTTTCAAGATGTAATTGAGAAAACAAAAATTGTAATTGAGAATCGTAAGATGTAATTGAGAAAACAAAAGTTGTAATTAAGAAACGTAAGATGTAATTGAGAAAACGTAAGTTGTAATTAAGAAACGTAAGATGTAATTTAGAAAACGAAAATTGTAATTAAGAATCGTAACATGTAATTGAGAAAATGTAAGTTGTAATTAAGAAATAGAAAGATGTAATTGAGAACACGAAAATCTTAATTTAGATATCGCTTTAAAGGAGTAAGTGTAAAATGGCGTTAAAAAAAAATGGCGCATAAAAAAATGAAGCGTATAAAATGACGCACTTAAAAATGACGCAAGACTTGTAGCGTAAATTTAATTGTTTTGGGAAAAACTTAGGGAAAAATTTATAATTTTTGGGCAAATGAATTTAACATAATAAACAATAAAAACATTTTAGGGAAAAATTTATAATTCAATTAAAAATTATAATTAAAAATCACTTCATTGATCATTTAAGCACCAACTTGTACGTCTTCCATATTTAAAATAGTTGCATAGTGCGTAGTTGTGTGTTGTACCGCACGTGCACAATCTCCTCCCATTATAGTATTTTTCGCCTCAATTACAATTCGTTCTAAGTACTGCATGCGCTGTTCCGCAATCCCGTCACCTTATACAGGTGGAATGCGAATTGCATTTTTAACGTTACTTTTAATTTTGGACCAGATCGTTTCCACCGGGTTCAACATTGGACTGTAAGGTCCCAAACGTAACAACTGAGCTGGTGAATTATCAAACACCCTTTGCAAACGAGCGTGACAAGGAGCATTATCTGTTACGACGACCAAATCCTCCAAACGATTCCCGGATGTAACCCACTGGTGAAACATAGCCAACATCCACTCGTTACAGGAATCTGCTTTAAATGATCCCCTGCGAGTTTCTATCATGACGACATTTGTAGTTGAAATAGCTGCGATCAAGTGTATGTTTAAACCTTTTGAAGCAGGTACTTTCATAATTGCTCTTTTTCCTTGTCTCGCGCGTTTTTCTACAAAAAAGGTTAAAATTTGTTTCATCCAACCAAACTATCTGACGACCATTTGTGATATGTTCGTTGATGTTTCTAACATATTCAGCTCTTTTTTGTTTGTTTTCATAACTGTTCATTGTAAAAGGCTCCTTGTGCACTTTTTTTAATGAGAACAATCTGCCTTCGAGGTAAATTGCTATTGTTGTTGTGCTAACGTTTATGTTAAATTGTCTTAATGTTTTTGTTTTGATGGCCACCAATGTTAATTGACAATCATTTTCAATCCATGTTAATGTTTCTTCGATTTGATCTTCGGTCGACTTTTTCGGTTTAAAACCTCCTTTTCCGATAAAATTTGAATTTCCGCTGCGAACCCAATTGTATGCTGTCTTATATTTGATACCTAGCGTTTGCGCGAGATTCACCCAATCTTCAAATCGCTCCGCACATTCAACAACTCTTCTCCTGTCATTTGGAGAAGATAAAACGTAACGTTTCCTTTCAACTTGTTCAGTTGTGTGTATTTCATGCCGACAAATCGGACAACTTGAATCTGGTTGTTCCAGAACTGGACGTAAACAAATTTGGTGACATAAATGTTGACACGGATTTAGCTTAATCACAGACTTTCGGGTCATAGTGTATTGGCATATAACACAACGATCTTTCAATTCCATTATTATTACTTGTGCATACAAAAGCAAAATTTAAGATTATAACTTAAATTCATGTCCAAAAAGACCTTTTGTAACAACCTACAAACTTAGACTGTGAATTTGCTATTTTAATTTATGTGTTCTCAATTACAAGTTACGATTTCTCAATTACATATTATGATTTCTCAATTATATCTTACGTTTTCTCAATTACATGTTGTGTTTCTTAATTACATGTTACGACTTCTTATTTACATGTTGTGTTTCTCAATTACATATAACGTTTTCTCAATTACATGTTGTGTTTCTTAATTACATATTACGACTTCTTAATTACAACTTTCATGTTCTCATTTACATCTTGAAAAGGTGTAGAAAAAAGATTATCTCCGCTATATATTCACTTTTTTACTAATTCCTTATTGATATCTTGTATGTCGTTTCTGCATCATTTTAAATTTTTGATAAGAAATTATACTTTACTTAGGCCGTTAGAAAAAGTTTTTTAGATATTGACTTGTAATGGTGTCCCTTTTTCAACATAACCCAAATGAAAAATACCTGTTGTTTTGAAGATGTAGAACGTGTTTTGTGACGTATCTTACTTAAATTCTTGGGCTTTCACCTTTACCGACCCAACTAGCGTTAGCCGACTAATATTAAATAAAACCAAGACCCATCTTCTATTTATAACATTGCATAGACGTATTTTTTTTATTTTATAAGAAACTTATACAGTACTAGTATTAAAAAATTTTCAGGGTGGCCACTGGTCATGAAAATTATAGAAAGTCATAGAATTTCATTTTGTCATTGAAAAAGTCATGGAATTTCTACATTTTCATTGAAATTCATGGAAAATTTATGAAACTTTTTTAATGATTTTTATTTTTAAGATATTTGCAAACAAAATTACGAGATGTCTTATCTAAGACCTTTTTGAAAAAGACACAAAGGTATTTTTTCAAGCATATTTTCGGAACTTTCTAGCAATTATTTTTTGGTCTATATGTTTTTAGTGATCAAGTGGCAACGGTTAGGCACATGGCACTGAATATTTTGCTCTAGTAATTTATTAGGAATATTCATGAAGAGTCATAGAAATGTCATGGAATTTCATTTTCAAATTTGAATGGCCAGCCCGGCGCTAGAAGCTCTAAAATCTTAAGAAATTTTTAGTGCAAAGTTACTTTTCAATAAGGAACTTAATTTGCACGCACAATTAAATGGAATTTCATTTGATTTCAAATGAAGTACGTATAAATAGTTTTCAAAAATAGATATTTACAAATTTAAGTATTTTAAGTTGCAACATCATTCAGTCATGGGTTCATTCATGAATACAGATGGGGGTCAATCATGGGTAAGATAGGGTATTTGACAATTGTATAGTTAGTCGGGAGATTTGTGAACATTACGAACGGTGGTAGAATTTCATGGTATGACACAAAACTAGGAGAATATCGTGTTTTGTTTAAGAACAAATATGCGGATTATATTGCATTAAATGATGTTGGTGGAATTCAAATAATTTTAAATGACTAACTTTAATGATTTTATCTTATCTACATGTTTTCAAATTGTATTTCTTTTACTTTTCTCTCTTTTGGTTATCTGAAACTTTTTGATCAAGAAAACAGAAAATTGGAAAAATAGAAAATAAGAAATTTTCTAGCATTAGTTATATAAAAAAATAAACATATTGCTTGGTTTCTTATATAAAAAAAGTGTAGTTTCCAGGACCGTTTCTGAATAGGGCAAAATTTTTTCTTACATGACTTAAGTCTATTATTTTGATTTTTATCAATTAACTCGTTGGGTATCCAACTTGGTGCTAATTTTCTTTTTTTTTAACAGAGTTGAATAATTTCTTTGGTTTTATTTGTCAATTATCCCATGTGTTGCAACAAGTACATAAAATGTTCGTAATTAAATGCAGTTTAATTATGAACATTTTTAATATGAACAGTTTTCATTTTTACACTTCAGTCACTATGTAAAGATGTTTATGTAAGTTTTTGCTTTCATTTTTAGAATTTACAAAACCTGCTCCAGAAAAACCTAAAAAAGGCTTTGCGACAGCAAAACAACGTCTCGGTAAACTTCTAAATTTACATAAAACTGGTTCAAGATATATTCGAAAATAGATTTGTTTCATTTTAAAACAATATGGTTATTTATGTTGAAATTTAAATTAATATGTATATATAAATAAATTATATTTCATCAAATATTGAGTGTATATTATATTAGAATTCGATGATAAACTTCTTTTGTGGTTTATTGTATGAATGTATCTTTTTTATCAAGGTTTTTTCTTTAGTTAAGTATTTTTATTTATAAATAAATTTTATTAATAAAAGGAATCTACAGTTCCTGGTTGATTCCTGTTAGGTAGCATTAACGCTGTTGCTTGTGAAATAATTGATTTGTCTAAACAAAAAATCTAATTTATTGCCACTTCGTTACCGTTTTTCCCATCTCCACACGTTACGAATTTTCTTATACATGCGTACCTAAACACAGCGCTTTTTACATTAATACAAAAATATGAATAATAAAGGGTTAAAAGATTCTTAGCGTGTTTAAACTTTATCTTCAATTAATACCATTTTAGTGTAAATCATAGATTTGTTGGTTTATTTAAAATCAATTTGCTTAAAAATCTGACTAGAATTTCAATAATTTTTTTTTTAAACTTCAGATAATTATGATATATTTTTATGATTTTTTTCTGGTCATTTCTTCAACTTTTTTTCGATATAAAAATTTGTTTTTACTGTTACGATAATTTAAGTTATTTTTCTCTGATGATTTTGTTATTATTTTTGCAAATATATATATATATATATATATATATATATATATATATATATATATATATATATATTGCATATATATATATATATATATATATATATATATATATATATATATATATATATATATATATATATATATATATATATATATATATTGCATAAAAAATACAAAGTATTTTTTACCCTATAATACAAAGTATTTTTTTATCTAAAATAAAAGTATCATCAAAACGCAGCGTGAGCAATTTTATTTTTATGTTCAAATTGAAGTAAAAATTATTAAGTAACTTTAATAAAACAAATAATAACATATAGCTAAATTAATCAAAACTTTTTGAAAAAAGGTAATAGTAATAATAAACTAAAAAATAATGCAGTTCTAATCATATTTTCAATTAAATAACATTTAAAATGGCACATAAAATCAAAATTGCTTATATTGTGTTGTGATAAAAAACTCTTCTTGTGTTACTTGTTACCCATGCACGGGAATTATCTAAACTGCTTTAATACTATCACAATTATCAGGCAGTAGCAAAAAAAATAGGCAAAATTAGGCGCTTGAATTATGAATAACATTTGCATTATTATATTTTACTAGAAAGCAGTTTTATAATAAAAAGTAAATGTAATGTAATAAAATATGTTTTTTAATTATTTTTTTAAACCTAAAGCTGATTTTACCATATATAGCGTAGCAGAAATACAAAGCAAAGTGTCTTTAGTTTGCTTTTTGTTTTGAGACATTATTTTGCTATTTATTTCTGCTGCACCATATATGATGTTGCAGACTTATCGCAAAAAGCTATTTATATTTTGCACTTAGTAGGTATTGTTTAACTAATTATTTTCTGTGTAACATTTAATAATTTGTAAAAAAAATCTTCTTTTTTTTTTAAAAAAATTGAATCTTTCTAATCAAGTCAGATGAACCTAATCTATATTAACATATAACTAAAAACTGAAATTATTATAATCTTAAAAATTAAATTGCTTAGAAATTGTTATTGAATAAAAATAATTTATCATTTAAACTATTTATCAAATTTGTTGAATATTACAAAAAAAAAAAGTAAAAAATGCCATAAAAATACTTTTCTATGCTAAGATTTTTCCTATACAAATATGCAAATATATGCATTATATATATATATATATATATATATATATATATATATATATATATATATATATATATATATATATATATATATATATATATATATATATATATATATATAGGGGAAAGCGGATATATATATATGTATATATGCATATATATATATACAATATATGCGTGTGTGTATATATAATATATATATATATATATATATATATATATATATATATATATATATATATATATATATATATATATATATATATATATATATATATAGGGGAAAGCGGGGCAACATAATGTTACTTTTAAATGATGGAGATAAGTAGGTTGTTACTTTTTTTTAGATCTTTACCTACTTATCTCCATCCAACCTACTTATCTCCATCCAATGTAATATTAAAATTGTCAATTATCTTGATGTAACATTGAACCTGATTGACAGTTCTTATCAACCGTATTGTAAACCTAATAACCAACTTATGTATCTTTATTCTGATTCAAACCATCCACCTAATATAATAAAAGAAATCCCTCGCACTACTGAGTTGAGAGTATCGACTATGGCAGTAAATGAAACTGTGTTCAATAATTCAATTCTTCCGTATGAAGAGGCTTTACGTAAATCAGGATACAAATCAAAACTCACCTACCAACAGCAAATAAACAAAAATCAAAAAAGACATCGCAAAAGTAAAATTATATGGTACAACCCCCCGTAATAACAAAATTTTACAAAGCGATAAAAATAAAACATCAAAAAAATGTAGCTGCATAGACCAAAAAATTTTTTCGTTAAATAAACAATGCCTTTTTAGCAATATCGTATACCAAGCCACTGTAAGTTCTGGAGATCCTCAATTCAAAGATAAAGTTTATTTCGGTATAAGTAAAACCACATTAAAATTAAGATATGCCAACCATCTTAAGTCTTTCAATGCACTCAAATATAAAAATGACACTGAACTTTCCAAAGAAATATGCGAGCTAAAATCGAAGATAATAAATCCTGTGATTACATGGAAGATAATAGCACAATGTAAGCCCTACAATCAAGCATCAAAAGTTTGTAATTTTTGTCACCGCGAGAAATTTCAAATATTATTATATAAAGGAGAAAATTTACTTAATAAAAGATATGAAATAATATCAAAGTGCCGGCATTCAAAAAGGTTTTTACTATCCTTATTCGATAGCGGGGACTAAAATCTTTGACGTCTTTTTGTTTTGTTTTGTTTTGTTTTTGTAACGTCAGAACTCGTTCCACCGTAATTTTAATTTGTAATTTTTAAACGGTTTTTAAGTGACGAAATACCAGGGTTGGTACCCAAAAACCCAAACACAAAAACCCACCCAAAAACCCACCAAAAACCCAACTTTATGGGTTTTTGGTCTTAAATTTTTAATTTTTAATTTTTTTGTTCATAAAACCATACCAAACCAGCTTAAACCATCTTGCTCATTATCATCAGACAGGCTAGACTTATTTGATGCTGCAGATGTAGATGGCCTTGACTCTAAAACTGATATATCACTTAACACTTCAGCGGAATTATTATTGCTTCGTTTATTCTTTCTTCTGCATTTATCCAAATGGATCTTAACTCTTTCTATTTTTTTAATTATGCTCACTTTGCAATAATTACATATTACTCTATTTGGTTGATCACTTAATATGGTCACTTCATTCCACTCACTAGCCTTATTTCTTCCCCCTGAATGATACTTTGGCATGTTGAAGACGTATAATCTACTTATATTTTAAATTTAACTAAAAAGATAACTCTATTTAAAAATAGATTTATATTATAAAAAAATGCAATCTGATTATTAATAAAGCTTTTGTATAAGAAAATATACCTGTAAAAAATGAAAAATAGCTTTATTATATTATAAACTATAAATTAATCAAACTTTGATTACTAAAGATTTATACCAAACTTTAGCAAAAACCCATCAAAAACCCACCCAAAAACCCAGCTGGGTTGGGTTTTTGGTCAAAAACCCGGGTTTTTGCCAACCCTGCGAAATACACAATGGCTGATGATTGCCCAAAGGCATGAAACTTAGAGTTCCATCAAAAGTTGTTTTTATTCATTTAATATAAATAAATAAATATTGCACTATTATTTAATAGTATTGAGCACTCTTAAGGTGGTAGATCCTCATTTAAATTATTATTTTTTAAATGTACTGTATAAAGTTTTTTACTATTTAAATAATTTTTTGTATTGAAAAATCTAAAATAAAAAATAAGTATATGACATTAATAATTGGGGTAAAAAGGCAAAAAAGGAACCTACGATGTCCGATTGGTATTAAATTTTGCAGGTAGCATTTGTATGGGTGTAAACAAAATGTACCAAAATGGTGAAAAGAAAAACTTTATTTAAAATTTTATGGTATTTTTCTTAAATTGTATCATTTTTATGATAAAAGATAGACCTAACGATCAATAACTGTCTCTTCCTTTGCAGATTAATGCTGATTTTGGTACATTTTGTTGACACTAGTGTATTAAACATTTTGTGAAAAATTCAAGTCAATTGGGCTAGTAAAACTTGAGATATCTTTGTACCACGTATGAAAATGTAGATTCAGAGAAAACGATCGTTTAAAATTTTGTATAAAAATAAAAGTAACTTTGCGTAAAACAAAACAATAAGCTCAACGTGCGTTACGTAATGTAAACAAGCAGTTAGAACGTTAAGAAGACACATTAAGATATCTAAGGAAAATAAGAGAAGCTTGAATAGCAAAACTTTTTTTTTATAAAAAAAAATTTTACGAAAAAGTTTGATTTTTTTAAAATATTAACACGAAAATGGCTAAATTGAGTGTTTTACAATAAAAAATAATTATTTTAGAAGTAAAATTCAAGTTCCTTGATAAATTTTTTATAAGAACCAATAAAAAAATATATTTTGAGATAATGTCAAAAAAAGGGGATCTACCACCTTCAACGCACCAGAGTATTTGTATTATTATTATACCATGATAATACATTATCTATTTTGTATATAATATATATATATATATATATATATATATATATATATATATATATATATATATATATATATATATATATATATATATATATATATATATATATATATATATATATATATATTATATATGTATATATGTATATAATATATATAATATATATATATATATATATATATATATATATATATATATATATATATATATATATATATATATATATATATATATATATATAGCAAAATAAAATGTATTATATATATATATATATATATATATATATATATATATATATATATATATATATATATATATATATATATATATATAAAATAACAAAATAAAAAAAAGTACTATAATATATTATGAAA